TGCGTAATAACTTCGTAGAAGATACACATATATTGTTGATATGCTAGTATTAAAGGAATCTTGCGCGGAAAATTCTTGCACTCTTTCCTAACATGAATATGTCAGTTGTGATCACTGGAAATAGCACACAAAGTTTCACGCATGAAGATTCGGTTTCTGAAGAGAAACAAACGTACAAAAACTACACGTTATGGACCATCGAAGGACCAGGAGGCAGAGCCAGGCGAGGCATGGAAAGAAGACGGCGTTTGGCCGGCTACGTACCAGGCGACGCAATGAGAGAATCGGGTTAAAGCGCGCGATTTCGGAGAGTGGAGACAAATCGATCGATGGAATAGGATGGAGTAGAAGTGTAAGATGTGAATGCAACGAAGCAGAAGGCCAGAAAGAGCTTCTAGTGAATGCACTCCAAGAACCAAGTTTGAGCATCCCCGTCGCCAGCATTCGTGAAAGACGTCCGTGGGCAATTCGAACGCGTAGCAGCCTTTTCGAGTTTTCGAATTTCTAATCAAAACGAAAGCAATACTTCAGTTCTTTTCACTATTATCGTGGATAATGAGTCTCAAGCCAGTGATTTATGGCTGAAATAGAATCATGATTTTTCCGCGCAAGATTCCTTTAATATTGTTGAGGAGTTAGCAACTCTAGTGAACTGACTTCTACGCGGATATTTTGAGTTCCTATCGCCTGTGCCGGGGAATGAATAAGGATTAATTCACCAAAATCACGAAATCTATTTAACTGTACCTTAATAGGTTAGGAGACATGATTATGATGGGTTGAGGAAGGCTTATGTGGTTATGATTGACGTGACCGAGCGTCCAATTGGCTGGAATGCTTGAAGGCGGGCGCCCAACCAGGGTCACGAGTTCTTGCACTATTATATTGAGTGGTCGCATAGTGGTTTCGTTGAGGTAAGGGGGCGATATCGCATTTTGTGGTATGAGCAAAGTTTTGAGTGGTAAACGGAGGTTGACGGAGGAGTGTAGAGCGGTATTGTGTTTGGACAGTTTTTTTTTTGGCAATTCCAGAAATGTCGACTGGGTCTGCAGAATCAGATTACTAACAGAAAATGATGGTGAGGGTGGTGGTCGTAGGAGAAGGGAGGGGTATCGTATCGGAGAGCTTCCAGGAATGGTGGTGGTGGTGGGTCGCAGCGATAGGGGCATATCAAAATTTGCAAAGTTGCGAAACGTGATGGTTGACCTGAGTTCCAATGCACCAATATTACACTGACTAAGAAGGGCCATTCCCCAAACCCCAGAAATGGGGACCAATTCGTGAGTGTGAAAAGAACATTCGCTCCAGCCATGGGATCGCTTCCTTTGAAAGAAAGCGAAATACTACGAGTGAGCATGTGTTCTCTACATGTGCTTAGACTGGTCCACTGAATTCAGGCACCCACTGAGAATGCTCAAACAATGTTCACACTTCTTCGACGAGTGCGTGGCAGCAAGACTCCCGTTGGTGGGTTCAGTTTCGGGTTGACTGAGCACTGAATTTCTAACTAGAAGCGTCTTCATTTCTTTTTTTCCCTGATGTCGGTAGAGCTTCCTTTCTTCTTAATTTTTTACTTTACTCTAATTTCTCTCCTGGACATACGATCGTGATTCTTAATGTTTGAGATTATGGATGGTTTGGGAGCTCACTATGCTGATGTTGTGGCCAAATAAATTTGACTTCTAATCAGCACTTCATTCATTCTTGAGTTCATGCAAAGTTCACGCACCTGTGCACGCTCACCGTTGCGAATGCGTTGGCATCTGCGTCTCGCTTGTTCTCTATGCTCTCTCATCTCGTCTGTTTTTTTGCCTCGCCGCCCAGCCTTTCTTGAAATATCTATCCCGTATTCTCGTGGGTCCGCCTAGTCTACCGTTATGAAACGGTTGTTATTTTGAGCTCTGTTTTCATATTCAGTGCGTCACCCTTGATATAGCAAAATTTTTACACATGTCTGTATGTTACCAAGTGCTATACCGCTTCGATACTTTTCATTTCAGTTGTTCATTGCTCAGCTGGGGTTGGCCGGAGTGGCACATTGGTAGCTTTGGAGATGTGTTTAATGACCGTAGCGAATACTCGTCCAATTGACATTCATTCGGTAGGTTATACTCTAATATGAGCAAAGATTTACCTCGATGCGTATCTACTTGTTATTTTGATAGGGTGATCTTTTTGTTCAGAGTAGGCGCTATCACAACATACGGGGGCAGTGCGGCGGCAACGCAATGAAAGTCGGGCCAGACATGTTTTTTGTTGTTGTTAGAAACGGCTAAACTGGACTAACAACAAGACTTAGGAGGGATGGGGGAGACTCCGGGGGTTATATTCATACGAGCTTCTGTTCCCTCTTAGGTTCAGTCCTAGGTTGTGCTTCGTATCCTGCGATATTATCAGAAAGTCTATAGTCATGAAAAGAGTCTAAAATCTCTATAATTAAGATAGTATGTAGTCTTCGACGATGCCGAGCCTTAGCCGTACAAAGTTTTGATCAATACCTTTCGCTGTACAAGTTGGTACTACAATTTGCTCAACAGAATGGTTGCATTTCTGGAGTAAGTGATATCAGTTTTGTTTTGATTTTTTTCTTGTTCATAAAGAGTTTTCTTTCTCAGGAGGAAGTCGAAAACTTCTATCGCATTATGCAAGCGGCACGAACTAATATTAGCTACTAGCATTTTGAAGATCGTCAACCTGATTTAGAAGAGTTATATTTATATCACAATGGTAACTAATGTACAATGTTTAGCTTAATTCGACTGCTACCCGAATACTCGCCTATTACTCGAAGTATTGCATTTTGCGCAGTCTCCTTTTGAATTGGCAATGTAATTCGTCAAGATCGTGTCTTGAACCATATCGAGTATCAACAATTAATTTGCCAAATAAACCGTTAATTATGTTATGTTGATGCAGCATTGATCTTCACTTTTTATTGATTAAAATTTCATCCTTTTATTTTGCTTACCTATTTCTGCTAGGGAAATCTCCCCATCAAATAGTTTACGAGGGGTACCCCCCAGGAGGCCCGTCGCGGCGGCAAGAAGGCAAAGTCAGCGGACGAGTCGCGCGCGTACTATAGGGATTTCGCGTCAAGTTGAATAGAGTGTCCCACTGCACGTCCTACATCGCACACCACGCGCTGCAACTCGTCCGCCGACTCTGCCTTCTTGCCGCGCGACGGGCCTCCTGGGGGGTACCCGGTTCCAGAGCGCGCCGTTCCTGTGTTTAAAGCAACAACTCAGAGTTTGGGCTTTTGTGGATCATCTTTTTCTCATGGGTGGGATAACGTGGCCCGAGGGTTTACTGTACTCATTTAACGCTCTGAACGTGCGCTGACAATGGAGCTGTGCTCTTACAAACAAGGTGAACACCCCTTGCGCAAAGATCAAGGAGAAGTCGTATTAGGCAAATTGGGGGAGGGGGTGGGGCAGGGTCAACCCTACGTTGTTACGAGTAACAACGGGGGGGGGGGGTCGTACCTGGTTGAGTTTGTAGGAGGGGGGGTCGTACCCACTTTAGTCGCTCGAAATCACGTGTGGGATTGAGGAAACTAAGATTTCGTGGGTAGTAGGCTGGGCGAGTGGAGGGGCGCAGGATAAAAATTTGCCGTTTCAGCGGGCGTATATACCCCCTAGAAAAGGAAGTAGTGGGAGTATAGGTAAAAAATGGGTTGAAATGGTGGAAATAGAAGGAAATTTTCGGAGATATTTACCGTTTCAGAGTGACTATATACCCCCCGCTCGACGCCGCATTTTGGAGGAAAAGTGGGCGGGGTTTGGTGAGTTGAGTGGTATCAGAATTAAGCACTATAGAGACGATGATGGTGTGTCGAGGTGTCGAAAAGGGGGTCGTATCAAATCCACCTTGGGGGAGGGGGGTCGTAAAATTTTTTCAGAGAAGTAACAACGATAGGATCCGACTAGGGACAAGCAGGGTCAACCCTATCGTTGTGACTCTTCGAAAATTTTTTACGACCCCCCCCTTCATGGTTGATTTGATACGACCCCCCCCCCTTGTACGTTACACTTGTGTAAAGACAGATTGACCTTAATATTTATTGCTACTCAAGTCAAATCAGCTTCCGAATAATGAGATGCACTCGAAGGTACCCGAAGGGTACCCCGAGGGGTTACTAAACTAAGAGATCGCCAAACTGAAAAAGTGAAAAGAGCACACTGAATTCATACAAAAGAAACGGATGTGAACAGGTCGACAAAAAAAAGTAGCGATGTGATTTCAAATTTGCTGGTTGGCGCCCTTTTGCCTTGCTGACGGTGGAGCGCATCTGCTCAAGGTGAGGAGCCGTCGAACGGGAATGTGAAAAGTTTAGGAGTTTTTTTTGTTTAATTTCAGGTAGTCCGGAAGATATCGGCGGATGTTGGATCAGCGTGGTTCATCCTTCTCAAGGAGTGCCCATTTTTTCTCAAACCCTTCACAATGAAAAAGTTATAAGCCAAAAAATTAGATTGCAAGAGAATTTTTACACTCCTCTTTCTAGGGCTATAACTTCCTTCATGTTCGAGCTTCAGCGCCATAGTGATTTGATTTAAAAAATTCAAATTATTCTCTAGCCAATCATGGGTATAAATTCTTCGAAAGTTAATTTATTAAAAATTTTGGACGTTGTGACTTTCTCTGGTGCAAACCGACTTTTTTGCTTTCAAACGATCATAACTTCCTTCAAAGTCATTCATTTAGGAAGCTGAACACGTATAACACACTCCAGGATTCAAGCTTTCTAACGAGTACCCAAAACGTTCCTGCAAAATCAGTAGTTCAAAATTTAGTCCCGTTGTAACCATTATAAAGGGCTGGTGTAACCATTTCTTTGAAAACGCGACTTTTTTACCTTCAAACGATCATAACTTCCTTAAAAGTCATTCATTTAGGAAGCTGAACGCGATATAACACACTCCAGGATTCAAGCTTTCTAACGAGTACCCAAGCGTTCCTGAAAAATCAGTAGTTCAAAAATTTAGTCCCGTTGTAACCCTCAAATTTGAGGGGTATTTTTGAGCCACTTTCTCGAAACGCGAGTTTTCTTAGGTTTCACTGCCCGTAACTTCTTGGAAGACCAATTTCATGTTTAATTTAGGATGTGCTAGAAGCTCCGAGCATGCGCTTGCACTACATCCCTTGCCTTGGTGCGCGCCACGCCTCGGGCGCCCTTCTAATTCGCTGATTCATTTGAAAGCTCATTCAGAGGGAAGCGTGGTTTACAGATGCTCTAGTATCAGTAATCTTGCGCAAACTTCTGAGAAACTTCCTAGAAAACTATCAAAATTGTACGATATATTATGCAATGTCTTCTTGTTATTATGTAGATAATTTGGGTTCTACATAAAAAGGCGCTTCTTCCTTTTGAAGGTTGCAATTCTCTTCTCCTTCGTACCACTATCCATACTCAGTAGGACATCACCAAGAATTTTCAGTGCCGGCCACCAAAAAATTACGACCCCCCCCTCCAAGCTCAATTCAGTACGACCCCCCCGTTGTGACTCGTCACAACGTAGGGTTGACCCTGCTGCCAAGTCACGCCTGGGGTGGGCGGCGCGTAAAAATTTAAATCAACAACGATAGAATGCCCTGCCCTCTTCTGGGGTCGAGCTGTTGCTAGCAGAAGTTACAGATATCCACTGCCTGCCCATCTCACGCACACCCCACCCTCCCCGCTTAAAGGCACGAGTCGGGATTGAATTGATGCTTTATTTTGTTCAAACATTAGGCAAGGGGTGCAATGAGGAACATTAGTGAGGAGAAAAAGCAAAAAGCACCATAGAAAACTAAATTTCCCTTAGGAGGCCGGCCGTAGTACGACGGAGAGACACAGCGCTGCGAGGAGAGGGAGAACGCGAGATAGTACGTCGTACGCGAGAGGACGCAGAGACCACGTATGCCGTGGTGGATTACGCTGGCAGCGCGGGCAGCGCGGCGGGCAAGGCCTTAGCGCATTGCCGCGCACTTTTGGGTCGCGGATAGTGTACGTCCCTAACGCTCTTGGGAACCCACTATTGCACCCTGGAAGAACTCCTGGTGCGTTGCCTATCTGACTCAGTGCTTTCATAGGCAAATGTCATAGTTGCTAAACGAGCGATTCGCTCGTTCGCAAACTATGACGTCGGCCTCCAACACTTCGGAGGAGCTTTGGGGGTGGGGTTGGAGTGTGTCAGGTTGAGCCAGGTTCAATGACTCTATTAACACCATCAATCGGAGGGAAATCGTATTGAATATGAGGAAGGAGATCGTACCCAGACATTCGTAAGATGATAGCCGTTCTGTTGCGACTAGTCCCTCAATGCGAGGGTCATCTGCTCTGCAAGGATGATCGTATCCTATTTTTGAACAAATTTCAAAGCTTCTCAGTGCAACTTGATAATCTAACCTGTTATAAAATATGTCAGCTCTCCATCACTCTCCCTCTCAAACTCATGAAACATTTGTTTCCCAGTTCGGCTAAATCACTTCTACAGTACGTTTTGAGGTTCTCTAACGTTTGTATTCCTAGTGAATGGTAGTGGTAAGTTGTTGTACTTTCAAGTTGGTTGCAGATCATAGCAGGTCACAGGTCCATACTCCCTGTCAATCTTGTTGTGCATTCCATCGAGTTCTGCACCAATCAATGTTCGTTCCATATTCTTTAGTTCAGCTCTGAAAAACTTTAAAGTTTCTGAGAATGTTTTTGTTCACTGAAGACATTACGAGTGCATCTTTCGCTTGGTGTATTGTTCTTGGAAATTCTTTGGTGCTATACAAGTAGGGTGGGCACGCCGCATTTTTTGAACAGAAATGTATGTAAGTGGGACTGCTGCTCGCTACTATACTGTCACGAGTTCGTGAGCCAGGGGGAGTGTAGCCAATCTAGGGGGTGGGGGTGAGGGCAGTCACTTGACATGCGTGAAAAGCTGGGCGTGCCCACCCCACTTGTATAGCACCATTCTCTTCTGTATATCAACACGGTAGTTAACCTGCTAGATATCTATACTACTCATTCGTGATTTTTGAACGTGTAGGCAAATTACCTTACAATTGTGCTTTGTGTTTAAGATGTATGAGCAACTACTCACAATGACTAACACCAACCCGACTCCTCCTATCGTCAAAGGCTAGTCTAAACTTTCAATAAACTGAACATTCAAGAGATATTTAGCGATTCTCGGAGAGAGCATGATTTGAGTTTTCTCAATCTCCTTTCCACGTCGCACAACCTCAATACTGAAGGAACCTATTAATCTCGAAAGAGCCGGTGCAAAATTCATTAAAATTCGATTTTAGCAGGAACACCGGGGAAAATTGGAAATGCTCTCGCGTTTCCAGAAAATCTCCCCAGTTCATATGCAATGCTCATCCACACATTTCACAGAGATCAGTGTATCAAGACTCCGAAAAAGGAGTGGGGTCGAAAACTTCCGGAAATTACCGAACGGGTAAGGTACCACTGTCTCGGGGCTATGCTAGAAGATGTCACAGCGTTTCTTGACTACGGTAGACCAAAAGTAATGGTACGTTAACTGTACCGCCACTGCTATAAGTAGCCGTATGCTGAAGTAATCGGCGCATACCTGCTTTCACGCTTTCATGTGACGCCCCACCAATTACAATGATTCTGCAATTTGACTCTCACCTGTTATCGATGAACCTCAGCTGCTTCCGCAGTGATGATTGAGAGCCACCG